CGAAAGCTCGAATAAGGAATGAGTCAAATATTTATAAGCTCGCGACGCTCGTCGAGTGTGACGTGATTCACTACAATATTCTCATTCTCATAAAAGCCGCGCGATACAGCTCCCGTGCGTGACATCTTTCAGCTGTGTGATCCACTCGCGCATCTCTCTCTCTCTCTCTCTCTCTCGAAAAAAGAACCGTTTTGTTGGCCTGAATTCGACTCGCACATTTTATATTAAAAATGCAAAATCATAGTGTCGTATACATTTACTCGGAGGAGTTCATTCACACCGAAGCGACCGATACATCATCGGGGAGCTTCATACACGCGTATTAACGAGTCGAGAATGGTACACTTCCGACTAGTTTTTTTTTCATCTTCAATGATCGCGATTAAATTACTTGTGCCTGTCGCACAAGCGTCAGCGAAAGTGGAAGATTATGTGTTTTGAAGGGTCTATTGGGTCGATGATGATGGTCGATTCAGTAGAATAACCGAAGTGACAATGGGATTTAATTGTCTGAACTTTTATAACAAAGGCCGATTGTATTACTCGCGCGGGACATTCATGGGCAACCTCAATTTATTCGTTTTGACGAGAGAAATGATAAAATCATTGATCATCTATAGTATATAGGTATTGTTTCGAAATCGATAGTGCGCGCGAGCCATCGTTTATTCGACAAAATCAGCTAAAACACCAAGCGATATGAAGACATTATGCTCTCGCAGTGAATTGACGTATTGAATTGATAGCGATCGAGGCGTTTCGAGAGAAATAAAAATGTGATTTACACTTCAACGCTCACATCGTGAGCCTCGATCGACAAGCCTTTATTTCGCTCGAGCTGCAAGAGAGCACGTGTTTACATTATTACTTTACCTCAGTCATAACTTTATTTTACAAATGAAAAATAAACCAATCAATTAGTTACCAAATTATAATTACCGAGTAATTTTTTCATAAATTTATCCACATATGCGTCGAAAAACGTACAAAAATCAGCGAAGCTGTTTTACGCGTGTGCACACAGACGAGAGAAAGAGATTAAATTCGAATATCCATTAAGTGGCAGTGGCCGGTAGCATAGGATAGAGAATTGAAATCGCAGAAACGCATTAATGCAAATGTGTGCTTTACTTTTGTTCGTCGTCGTCGTCGTCGTGCCCGCGCCTGACAGTCCGAGAGTCCGAGTGCGCAAATACGCGAAAGTTTTTTTCCCTCATTTTACCTTCTTCTTTTTTTTTCGTCCGGCTTTCTCGCGCAATCCTTCCGGATTTCCCTAATTTCCTATCTCTATGCCGCCTCGCGCGGACTCGAGCCTGGCTCAAAGCTGGGCAAGTACTCTTCTGCAACGAGTATTACAAGCTCGGCTTCGAATTAGCGCGGAATAACGATAAGAACTGCAGCGGCAGAGGCCGCGCGGCGACGATTTTATCGACAGGATACGATAGATCGACGCCCGTGTAGTGGAGACTTTCTACTTTTCGCGATCTATACGCGCACACATGGGAGCTTATCCAGTGGGATTTGCAGAGCATTGGATGGGAGGAGGAGGAGGAGGAGGGAGAAAAAATAGTTTTGTAATAAAAGTGAAATACGATATACGTGAAATCTGCTTGCCATTCCGCGTGTATATATATGTGTATTAATCTTTTTGGCTAACGTGTATATAGCATTGATGAACAACCGTGTAGCTACGCGTTAGAACACGAGTTATTTTATTTGCATTGATTTTCAGGACACGGAATCGGGATTGATACAAAATAGAGTTATTTATTACGCGCGGTATACGTATAGCGGTGGTTTTCACTTTCAAAATCCTCCAGGCAGAATGACGAAAAATTTCGAAATTCTAATTCAGGCAAAAGTGTCTGCATACCAGTTTATAAGAGAGACCAGATACCCGTGTTACGCATAATTTAGATTGTCGATGCATGGTATAAAAAAAAGATACACGTGGCGCTTGACAGTTTTTTTTCTTCTGTTTGTAAAAAATCAATCGAATCTGCTGTTGCGAAATATGCAAAATCCTTGATCAGTTTTCGTCTTGTTTTTATTTTTTCAATAAAGAAATCCTTCGGAGGATTTTAAACAAAGTTGTTGTATTGTGTATGTATGATTGTCGAAATAGATAATTCGAGAAGGACGTTTCATTGAAACGCATCAACTGAGTGGAACATCGAATCACGCGAAGTAATTTTTTTTGTTTGCCTTTGTTATTCGTCAGACCAATAGTCGCAGAACTTGAACATTTCTTGGAACAACAATCTACACGCACAAATTAACAGTCACGAAGCATCCAAAATGGCCAAAATTGGAAAAAAGAATACAGTACCCACAGAAAGTTCCAAACAAATCGAGCAGAGATAATAAATTCCCTCGCGGAAAGTAATCTATCGCCATCTAGATCTAAGCTCATATACTTATAAGCACAAACAAACAGTCGATTCGATCCAATTTACTACTTCCTGTATACTTATGGACGCGAAAATCAAATTCGCATCGATCGTGCAATTACGTATAGATACATTTATCCTGAGTAGGCGAGCTGAGCTAAAAAATTTTTTCAGCTTCAGCAGCACAGGAAGTGTACAGAGGTGAAATGCGCCGCCGCCGTCGTAGCCGCCCGCATTCGCCGCGATGTGTATAATATTTATTTTCAAGAGACACTCCAGAAGTACGTCTGTGTATTACATGCTATGAATGGGAACGACGTATATAGAGTGTGCATATGTGCGCTGCACCGACACCGATTATTGTCTTTATCGCTCGGCCTTTTTTTTCAACAATGTATATAATAACGATGTAACGCGATGCGGATATTTGCAAAAAGCCGCGAGAATCGAGCCCGATCGGAGGTAAAATTTGCTATCGCTTAGCAGGCATTTTTTTAACATACAATCGAGCGTAAATTGGCGAATTATGCGGATCGTATGACGCGTTCCATTGGATGAAGGTATTTCGTGGCTGAAGATCGGATTAAAATGGTAATTTCAATCATTATACAGGAAATTGACGTTTGAAAGATCGAATCGTAATTCTATGTATTTTTCATATATTACAACTTATCTGAAATGGATAGTGTAAAGATCTCGATCTAAAAAAATGTTCACTCAAATTGCATTAAAATTTTCGAAACGGGTCATGCTTTTAAAAAACAGGAAAGATTTTTTTATCAGTTAAAAAAGGCCATCTTCTCAGATATTTTAAAACAAATAAAATTTAAAAAAAAACAAACATTACGAAACCTTGGTTGAAATTAGCGAACTTGAAAAGGTGAAAAGGATCATGTTGTGCTCTTCGGACCGTACATAGATACAGTAAAACTGTTTTGGAAAATGTATAGCTGCATTAAAACGAACATTGAGGTGCACTTTAAAAAACAACAGAGAGAGAGACAAAGTAATTGTTTACGTTGGGTAATTAAAGAACTTGCGTACTTGTAAAATTCTCTTTTAGAAAGTTTAACACTAAAGAAAGAAACATTAACGTAACTTAATGTTTCAGAACGTAGCTTTCATTTTTCATGGGGCTTATACTGCGCGAGCAACATCTAGCGTCGCGCACGCGTGATCGAAAATCGGTTGTGGCTGCGTCGGTAAGTTATCATTCCCACAAGCAAGAAAGCAGCAGAAATTTACTTCATCTCACAGATGACTAAATGATACTTTGTATAATCTAAAAATGAAATTCATTACAATTGAATAAGATAGTACGTAAATAATTATACAGCTAGATTTGAGAGAGAAAGAAAGAGCACCGAGCTAAATCTAGAAACCGGTAACGACATACCGATAGCAAACTACCTTACCGGTCGAGGATCCATGGATCTTTATTGCGATCGTTAACGGGGGCGGATATCGTTACCGACCGAGAATTACCGGTTTCGCTCAAAAGTTCCACTCTTTGCCACGGCTACTATTACTACATTGCACTGTCAATGCGGCTATCTTCATCGAATGTTTCCAGATCACCTCTATTTCTTTGCCGATTTTCCGCTCACGATCCGAGCAGCAACTATATAACAATGCGAGTTATACATTTTTCACCAAGACTACTACACACGTGTGTCTATTTATAGTACCCGGCAAATTAATAAGAAGGCACACACGAGCGAGGCAAAAAAAGCAGCTGCACGCATAAGCGTGTATATAGATCTCTATTCTCTTCTCTCGCTCTCGCGCGTCTCTCTTTCGTTTCCTTCGTTTTGCATAAAATCTGTATAAGCATCTCCTTGCAGTGTGCTTGAAAACAAACGTTTCCGAGAAAATCCAACACAATGTTATATACATTGGCCGCGGGAGCTACTCGGCTGTTGCTGCTACACGGTGTGTGATCATTAGCATTTGCGACCCGTCAATCTGGTCGTTGGTCGTCGTCGTAGTAGTTGCTAGCAAAACAACGAAACTCGCGTATATATACACGCTACGCGTTGCAATTCCAGAAAGCTCCGAATGAAAAGCCAAACGCGCGCGCGCGCAACAAAGTCAAGAGAGCCTGCGAGTCGATGTCTGTGTGAGCTAACAAGAAACCGGTCAGTCCGTACACCCTATATAAACGCGAGTAGTGTGTGTATTTATACAGCACAATCGCGGCTGCGAGCGAGAGAAGCTATATGCAATATGTACATGTAGATATGCGTGTACAGCGGTGCACTCGGGGAAAACGACGGCAGCGGCACATCTTTGCGTTATCGCACAACTGAGCTGACGAGCCAAACGTTTTTTTCTTTCGGTATGATAGATATTGTTCTCGATAACAAGAGTATCCTCGATTGGTCGTGTTCAGGACAATGAGTGAAAATATTCCTAACTGCGACTTCTTTTCGAAAAAATCTTCAATGGAAGTACGGGACGGAATACAAACTTCATGCCAAAGTAAACATTACACTTACTGTTTCGAGCACAATGCGACGTCTTCGATCGATTTCTTACCGAACAACAATCGTTTCAAATCAATTGACAAAACTAAACATAAGGTAATAATAAAACATCGAAATAACTCACCATCGACGTGAAGTAAAACTTTTCGAACTCTCCCTCATGAAGTTTGGCCGTCTGTAGACTGGTCGCCGAGCGGTGCTCGTGTTTCGACAGTATGTCCAAGCCTTTCTTGCACAGCCAGGATATGACCTGCAACACAAAAGACGAGACAAAGTTCAGTTGGTTTCGACATGTTTTTTTTTTTTTTTTAGAAAAATCGCTAGTAAGTAAATCGATCGCGATTATATGCACGTGCTACATAACGCGTTGTATTCTATTCTCTATACATAATAATATTGTATGCATCGAACGAGTCACCAGCGGCGCAGCAGCAGCAGCAGCGCACAAATGTAGCAATGCCTGCACAGCTCGGTGGTGCTCGGCGCGTTAATCCTCTAAGTAAGTGTTTCCGTCTGTAATTACAAGAATGGAAGAGCTGCAGCACGGGGACTCGTGCGCGCGCGTGGGATTACGTCGGCGGCGGCAGTACATAATGCTGCGTGTGTCGCAACGTTACGCGTATATGACTTTATACTGCACAAACGCTAGCACATAGGCGACGGATATCAAATGGGTTTGGATAATGATAATAATCATAACCCCTATAAGCAACGATATGATATTCGCGCGATCTTATTTCAGAATATTGTATTGAATGTATCGGGTATATACATACAAGACAGAGATGTTAATACCTGCGCAGCGAGTGTGCATTGGCACATACGTACGCGCGATCGCGAGAATCGAAACATCATTCAAAGGTACTTATATATATCTGTGCCTGTATAGAAGGAATGTTTGAAATCACACGCACGTACGTACACACGTGTGCGACGTCGAGTCTCCACCTTAGAAAAAGTCCTACATAGCTCTTTATATCCGAGGATATGAATGATAAATAATATATGTGCTGACTAACTATACGTGCGCGCGCGAGCGAAAGAAATACATTCAGGCGTTGAATTAATATGCGCACACGTGCTATGCCACGCTTGAGCCACGATGCAGTTTTGCCAAGTGAGCTTTTTACTTGCGAGTCGAGGCTCGAAACGACAAAGAGTCTAGATACATCGTTGCGGGGAAAATTATGATTTCTGTCAAGGGAGCGAGAGGGCGTACACATGCACACGCTTGATGAAGGGTCGGCATTTTTACCACAAAAATACATGCATAAATAACCTAAAGATCGGTGATCGGCAAAGCAAGTCAGCATGACGATCGTCGCGCGTCTTTTTATGCAATTTTTATAGATACGTCGCGATCGAGTCTCGTTAATTTATTAAGATTCTCGATGTATGTACTTCGATGCGCGCGAGATTTTGGCGCAAAATTTTTTATTACACACGCGGGTGACGCTACGTGGTTACACGCGTTGCAAAAATCCACCAACGAAAGTGAAACCAGCTGCCAAGAATAATCAGTCACTAAAGCGCTCGGTGGCTGCTGCAGCAGCAGCAGCAGCAGCGGATTCGCATCGTGCGTGCGAGCAGCTCCGTTGGCGGTCCATATTATACTTCGATCGATAAGGAGACAAATATCGGAGTCATTTGCCTTCGGTGACCGGGCAGATCAAATTCCACGATATCGCGCGCTCGAGTCGTCTCGGCTTTTTACAGATAGGCACGAGACGTCAACAAATAAAAGGATTTTTTCCCTTTTTCTCGGAATGACGTTCAGGTAGGAATTCACGCGTATGTGTATATAAAGTCGTTTGTGGCTTCCGGAAGACAATCAAGATAGTGCCTTCAGACTACGCGACACAGCAGCGCAGTTTTGGAAGAAGGTCGACGCATTTTTTCTCCTAAATTTGTACCCCTTTATAAATTAAGCGTCATGTGTCTGTATGTTATCCACGGATAAACGCCATCACAGAGAAATCATAAACGTCGCGCGTCAAGCCTCTAATCTCTCTCCGTTATAAGCTTTTGACTCGTCGTTCAATTCTGCCACCTCAAACAGCAACAACTGCTACAACACAACAACAACAACAACAGCTATAAGATAGGACACCCATGAGGTAGTACTGCACTGCTCAATGACAAATCGCTCACAAGCGATAATAGTTTGACCCTTATTTGCCCCGCGCGTGCAGCAGCAACAATGCACACAGCGAAATCTTTTATTTCATTCGATACCGCGTTTATATGTATATATGATGTTCGCGTAGCAGCCAAAGAAGCACGTGGGATAGCAGCAGCAACACGTCTACTCTCGGCGTGCCAAGACAAATAATAAACTGTGCGAGGCGCGCGGATTTGACTTCGAGGAAAATGGGTCTCTCTCTCTCTTTCTCTCTCTCTCGGATGCCTCTGCACGACGCGAGTCACGCTTGGTTTGCTATACTATAAAGTGCATCATCCTTGCCATTGGGATTAGCCGCGTTCACTGCGCGCAAAGCGTGTATCGTATTTTGCGAACGATTATTCATAAATTAAGGGTTAACTTTTCTTTCTTTTCTTTTTTTCATTCGTGTTTCCGAATGAAATAGCAAAGATAGCCGATTGTTATGAACCGATCGGCGCGACGTTCTCTTTCTGTCCAGTTATAATCGTATACAGTCGTGATCACGATCGTACAGTACGATTTTTGATTTATAATAATGAGCTCTCTTGGAGAGTTGTAGGCGAGCTGTACGAGCGAGCAAAAGTAGACTAATCGATGAAAGTTGTCACTTTAATGATTTCGTGCGAAGATCCGCACGATTGAAAATTCGAGCATACACACATTACGAATTACGGAAGACGACTCAATAAAGAATGTATAGGACTACGTGTAACCTCGATTCTTACCCCGACGCACCTCGTCGGTTACGTGTGTCCCTTGGCTCTGTGGATCCGTTCTGCACGTCCGGGGTCTACCTGTAAGATTCATGCAAGACGGGAAAGGAAAGCTCTTTACACTCACACATCCATCAAGAATCAAACACTCCATATAACAATAACAACTACCAGGTTTATTCATATTAAATAAACAATATACACGGCCTCAGAGAGTACCCGAATACCCGGTCGACGGCAGACACAACGATCGTAGCCCTGGTGGGCGCGTCGGCGCGTACGACTCACAAATACAACGACTAAGATCTGGGCCGCCCGACTCACCACACGATGTCGAGATCTTCTCCTGGTCCAGATCCACCCTTGGTTGTCCTTGTGGTCTGCTCGGCCGTTGGATCCGCTGGTTCTCTCTCGCGCACTCGGATCGACTCGTACCGGCCCTCGCACTCTTTACTCAGGCGACGTAGGATCTTACTAGCCCGCGCGGTACTCGTCAATCCGACCTAGACATCCACCAGGATGTCGCGCTCTACTCTCACACTCGAGCTCTGTTCGCTCTCAGAGCAAATCTTCGACTCCTTTCTCCGTTCATATGTACGCTCTAGTATCTCAACGTATACGCGTGTTTACGTTCTATTCGTTCACACTTGGCGCTCACATGAAATCATATTCAAAATACAATTATTAATACCGATTCTTATAACTAACTATACACTCGGTAAATCGACGATGGTTTGTCAGGGCGGCCCAACAGATAATGCCAGTTTCGGCATTACAAAGCCCTCCCCTAAACTATTCGTACCTGTACGAATAAGTTTACCAAATAACCGCCCCGACGCACCATCGTCGAGTCAGCCGTCAACTATAAGCTACCCAACACCAAACAACATTCAACTTATCATACACTCTTACATACTATGCTACACCAAGTAAAATAATTTCAATGAGATGAAATTTAATGAATATATACAACCAAAAAACAAAAAATAAAATCTTCCGCTCTCGACAAACATCTGTAACGATCTATCACCTATGTCGTACGATACGTCGAAATCCTTCGGCTTCTCTATTCACCTTCCTCCCTCCAAAGTTTCTTCTACTACTGCCAATTTTTTTCCTCTAGTTTATCTGTCGTCTCGGACCTCTCTATAGTTTTCCCGTCATCTCGGACATCGTAGTTTACCAACGTCATCGCGGACCTCTCTATAGTTTTCCCGTCGTCTCGGACACCGTAGTTTACCAACGTCATCGCGGACCTCTCTGTAGTTTTCCCGTCGTCTCGGACATCGTAGTTTACTAGCGTCATCGCGGACCTCTCTGTAGTTTTCCCGTCGTCTCGGACATCATAGTTTACCGTCATTGCGGACAACACCATAGTTTTCCCGTCGTCTCGGACATCATAGTTTACTAGCGTCATCGCGGACCTCTCTGTAGTTTTCCCGTCGTCTCGGACATCGTAGTTTACTAGCGTCATCGCGGACCTCTCTGTAGTTTTCCCGTCGTCTCGGACATCATAGTTTACCGTCATTGCGGACATCACTGTAGTTTTCCCGTCGTCTCGGACATCATAGTTTACCGTCATTGCGGACAACACCATACACAAGTCTCGATAATCCTCTCACCATCTTGGGACCCGTCTGACTTTTTGTTTATACCTGGTGCATGTTTCCTTCGCTACACGCAGGCTCTCTCTATATCGACTCCCCAGGTCGAGTTTTCACGCTATTTTTCCTCACACTCTGTTACAACAACAGGTATCGATAGCTTCGCTTCTATTTGTACGGGTTCTTTCTTCTCGTCACAGTTATAATGACTGCACTCTCTGCAACCACGGCGACGCATAGCTTACAATTTACTATCGACTCCCCGAGTCGAGTTCCAAGGAGATGCGTCACACACGCACCCCTCACTGGCTTAAAGGAGGACGATTCCACCTCGAGATGACTCGTCCTATACGAGTATCTCACCCAGCTAAGGAATTATTTCTCAACTACACTAAACAACGAGAAACTTTTTACAGCGACTACAGTTTCTTACTGTTACGCCTCTCTTTCCACAGACTTGACACGCAACACTTGCAGTCGAAGGGACCTGCTCTTTTTCAGGACACCCTTTTGCTCTGTGTCCTCGGCCGCTACACCTTTTGCATCTCGCATAAGGACAAGAAGATGCTTTGTGTCCTACTTGGCTACACGTAAAACATTTCTTCTCTGTAGCATCACCACTCCTATCTCGGTGCAGATGCCTACTCCGCGATTTTTGTTTGTGCGTTCGTTTTTCGCGCAAACTTTTCGGTGGTATGACTTCAACTGAAGTCTCACCCTGGTCCTGGTCTAGAGTCAGCGGATTTCTTCGCTCTTGGTTTTCCGTTGC